TTCCTTCTCTCCATTCTTTCCTATGTTCCCTCTTTCCCTAACTTCCTTCCTTCCTTTACTTACTTTTAAATACAGATGGATAAAATACCCATGCTGCCTGTTTCTATCTGTAGTATTCAATGTGTGCATATCCATTGTCCCTGGAAATCTTGTTTCCATTAAAAAAAAAATAGCCATTTCAATAAGGTGATAGTGATGGACTTGAAAAATTCCATTTCTTTCTCCTACATTTTCTATCCTGGCAAGTAAAAATGGCCAACCCAGCTTTTATAATTTTTAAATTTCCATCAAATTTATACTACTCATATTTGGAGCACTTTGTGCTTTAAACAATAATTATTCGCTCTATCTTACTCTTTTATATTAGTTTTTCCTCTAATTTTTTGGCTTTTATTTCTAATTGTGAGGATATTTACCTCAAAGCTTCTTGACATGATCTAAAGAAAATTTAATATAATCAAGAAGCCACTGTTGTAAAAATAGTTTTTAAAATTTGATGGGAAGGCCAAGATGCTAGTCAAATGCAGTATCAAGTGTAGCTTTATGTTCACATGGTTGAACATATGATAGCCCCACTCTTTCTGCCCTTTAATATTTTCTTCTCCTCCATAAATGACAGTACTTGATTGGCAGTTGGCAATTTTAAGAGTAGAAGGGAAACTAAGAGGCAGCCCTGTGTGGTTCAAGAAAACTACTGACACTTTCGGGGTGGTCAAATGGGGAATCCACAAACTGGAAGAAACACACTGGACTGGGTATGTTTACCTAGCAGGCACTCAGAAATGTAGTTTGCACTTAAGCCCTAATTTTATTTCTTATTTTCTGAACTCCATTTTGGATGTTGAATGAAGCAATATGGAAGCAACCAGCAAATTAAGTACATTTTTTAAAAGATGAGATAAAGACAGACTGTGAAAATGCCACCCGAATTAGGACTTTGGAACAGTGTCCAGGGATTATGGTGAGAGAGCCAGCACACTGTCTACACATAAGGTCACATTCGCTACATGAAGAAATTTGCTCAGTTTGTATGCTTCGTATGAAGGAATGCAAGTTAAGGATTGGCTTGAATTCTATGGAATTTCTAATACAAGACTTTATTGATATTACCTAAAAGGTAACTCCACACATAAATTGGTGTAATAAGATTAAAGAAAAATTTACAGCTTATGAAGGACATTCACTCAACATTTGTAAATAAATATGAAAACTCATCCCATGCAATAATTTTATTACCCCAAAATTGATCTTTTGATACTTTATGTCTGAATTCTTTTTCTTCACATACTATATCCTCATTCTAAAACTATCCTTAATCTTCTTTATTTAAAAAGAGTGTCTACTGAGTTAGGATGAATGATGAGTTAAGTCTCCAGGAAAACAGAGCCTTATGTTAGTAATTAAGAGAATTGGATACACATCTCTCTTTTCCACAAAATCCTGCTTCAAGTCATTTAAATTTCTGGTTTTGTTTTTTTTTTTCTAATGTTAACCCATTATCAGTAACCTAAAGGGAACCAATTATAATAAAAATCTCTGTAACTAAAATGGAGAGAGCTTAAAGAGAATAAATATAAAGAAATCTATGTTTCTATCGCTTCTCGGCCTCTTGGCTAAGATCAAGTGTAGAAATCTATGTTTCTACCTATTTTGAAAAACATAAGTCTATCCAACAATCCAAAACCTAAGTTATCCGACTAATATTTACTTAGGATCCACTAAAAGCATTGTGTTAAAGAAGGAATAGCCAGATGAGTGGAATATCATCGCCTACTTCCAAATTTTGTAGTCTAGGGGCCTTATATAGAATGAAATTTTAATTTTTCCATAAATTCAAGGAATTACATTATATGGGCAATTTGCTGAGAAATTGTGAGAAGTTTACAAGTTCAGGTTTTTAGTAAAACATATCCTATCAACTCACATGGAAAATTATTTAAACATCCTACAAATTATTGGCGTGCACAGACCTGGTAGTTGCAATATTGCCATCCAAATACAGTTTGGCCAGGACATTGCATCACTGCCTAACTGACCCACGTAGACTGCAGCTCTACCTTTAATTCCACAACCTGTAATGATCCTTGGAGGTGCTGGGATTGGTCTCTTCTTATGCGGTGAGAAGTACTGCAAGTTGAGTGAGTTGGAGGTAGAGAGGAGTTTGTGAGATCTCTTTTGTTCAAATTCAATCACTAACTTCCCAGGGATGAAGACTTAGAATGATGCAAGGACCACCAACTAATAGCTTACAGCTCTCATACCCGTTTGGAGCAGTCTCAAGGAAAAGAAGACCTGACATTAGTATTTATGAAGCATTGAACATAAGCCTCTCATTCTAAAATGCATACATCTCTCTCAAGTTTTCAATGGCCACACTACTAACGTACTCTAACTTCATTTTGTCTTTTTGTTGATAATATCCCCTGGCATTAGAAAGTGAAGTTATTTAATTTGGTGAAGGAAAAGGATATTATTTTAATTCTTAATGTAATAGACATATATTTAATGATTGTAGTCTGTTTCCTCCAATCTCAAAACATCTACATCAGGTAATCATCCTCCAAAATCTACAGGTTGATGCAAGTAAAACTTAAAATCCCCAAAATGCTTCTCAGTAGTATCAGTTTGTCATAAAGTTTGAATTTCTTCTATAATATATAATTGATTTCAGTTGTTTGAAATGTTCTTCATTGTTTTACTTTTGTGCCCAGAAACACATTTGAGACTATACAAGAGAATAAAAAGTAGTTTCCTTTGCTCTAGACAATAATTTATTTATCCAGAGAAGTAAAATTTACAAATGCCACTTGAAGTTTTCAAAGTGCTTTGCAGTATTAGAACACAGATGTCCATGATAGCAATGGAAATATGCAGAATCAAGTATGTAAACTGGAGAGAGCATATGCTCTTGGGATTTGAGTAGTATTAGCAGCACAGATTAGGATCCGATCCTCTCTCCAGAAATATGTTTGAAATAGCATGAAAGACAATGCAAAATGTAAATTCCTTTAAAATGCATTAACTAAAAATAAAAGACTTTCTTCAGCAAACAGGTACAAAGACTGAATAACTATAACTTGTGGAAAGAAATAAGGCTTCTCAAGTGTTATAATTAACACATGTGCCAATACCTCCCGAAGAAAAGGCATGGTATAAGGATGGCGCATATTTTCATTGCTAAGAAAAAAGCATAAAATGCTGTGAGACTCTGCTGCTAGGTGCAATGTTGGAGGGACGGCTCAGTGAACTTCCTGAAGTGTCAAATATGAAAAGAAAATTTAAATAGTTGCAGCCGGACAGGGAAGGTTGTAAATACAAGGTTTTGTTTGTTTGTGTGGTTTTTTTGGTGTTTTTTTTTTTTTTTTAAAGAGCTATCTAACGTTTCTTTAAAAACTTGAATTATTCATCCATCTATAAGGGTTGATTATTTAACTAGTATTTGTAGTCCATAAGGTAATGGAAAAGGTGATTATGAAAGCATGTATATAAGTGGACGGAACCATGGTAATATTATAAGATGTAGATTTAGTTAGGCTATCGGATGCTAAATGATTTTAATATTATTAAATAAATTAAGTTAGGAAACTAACCATAAAGTATATGTAACAAAATAAAATTCAGGCTATGAAAATGTAGGTTGGATTTTGCCTAGTTAAAAAAATATATATGTGTGTGTATTTAATTTTGTCATTTAAAATTGTTATTTGTTGGGCTTAGCTGAAAGTAGGCATTTGTGGCTCCAATTGTGACAACTTCCTTTGAAGCTCCACAGTTAAAATTTTTCTCTTCTTCTTATTCCTTTATCCCTTTCTAAATGTATTAAGTGCAAGGAGAATATTCTTCTGTATTTTAGTTTGTTTAGTAAATACCACCTTGTAGCTTCTACAGGCAAATATGTTACCTGTGACTTTAACTAAGAGGTCTTCAAAACAAAGCAAAGGAAATGAAATGTTCTATTAACTTAGGCAGAAAAAAAAAGAAATGAATGGCACCATTTAGAAAACATAATATATTTAATTTGGGACCTCTAGTTTCTTTTTGCATCATACTCTTTTGCCTCGGAAGTCAAAAAGGAATTTGTTAAAATTTTTCTGGTAAATACATGATAAATCCAGCATTCTTTTAAGCTTTAGTTTTTAGACTGAAGATATGCTAGGGGACAAGTGAGAATTTCAGGTGTGTAAGCTTCTATATGTTAAAAAGCCAGGCAAGCCAAGCTGTACAGTATAGATTATGAACAGAAAACTCTACTGGGCCTCTCTGCGTATATGGACAACGTTGTACATCAAGTTGAAGGACAGCCTTATTCCTGTGTGGACACAGAAGGGCATTTGTTTCAAAATAACATTATACAGATATAGGTAAGACAGTTTTAGAAGATAACTATTAGTGGAGACCCACTTCTCAGTAATATTACAATAAGGCCACATTTTATACTTCCAAGTAAAATTAACACAAATTTTCTTAACCGAGAGATGCCTTTGCAAAAACGGTTCTCTTTATCATCCCAAATGCGAAGCATCGTATTTGACCAGGAGCCCTTGTGTTTACCTGTATAGATCTAGCACCATGGGCTTCTTTGTTCTTTTCATTCAAATAAAGATCCCTAAAACAGCAGAAATTTAACGACTCTGTTCAATTACCAATGATTTCATAGGGGGGCAAAAATGTAGGCTGTGTCACTTTTGCAGCCCCCTGCTTCGTTCCCTGTCCATGCAGGTGATACTTTGGGTGGAAGGAAAAGTTTCTAGCTTCTTAAGGAGAAAAGATATTAAGCCTCAATTTCATAGAGTATTGACCTGCCTCCTGTAGAAAATACTCAACTTGGCAAGTAAGAGATACCATGTGAAGAATCACAGAACACTGTATTTCTTTCTGAAATTCAGAGGAAAAC